GTCATAGTTCAGCACCTACTTAAGTGCTATGAGGCAGCCATTATAGACAGTACATTGATTTAATTAAAGTGGACATTTACTAAAGAAGGGCACTCTGGGTTCAATTCTGGACCTGAGGCACTAGAGTGCAATTTGTTCTCCCCATGTTTGCATTGTTTTCCTCCCACAATCCAAAAATGTACTGGTAGGTTAATTGGCTTCTGGGAAAACTGCCCCCCCCGTGTTTGTGTTTCTGTGTTTCTGTCCATGTGTGCCTTGTGATTGCATCCCATCCGGGATGTACCCTGTCTTGAGGCTGCTGCTTGTCTGGATTGGCTCCGGCTCCTAAGGAACCCTGAATTAGAAGAAGCAGTTAGAAAATGGATGGATTTTGTAAAGACGGATTATGAAAGGTTAAAGTGGAATGTAGGAAGTAATTAACTGGGATTAACACCCCTTTTCTTATGAAGAGTGCCACGGGATCGTTGTAGTCTATGTTGTCACCTCTTCTATTAATGGCCTCATCTGAAAGATGGCGTCTTCTACAACAGAAACAAAACTGCAATACAAGGGGTGCAATTCTGGTCCAAAGTTGAATCTGTTCAGCCAGCACGACTTGCAGCTGCAACCTGGTTATCTTCAGTTACAAACCAGCCTTGCACAGCTTCTTGTTATGAGAGCAGATTTCAAGATGGTAGTGCTGCTATGTATAAAAATGTGTACTTCAAAATGGCATAGACATTCCCAGGTCTTAAAACATGATAAAGTTTACAAATGAGAGATTAATTTAGCTGCTACTGTACATATTTAGAAGTTTCAGGTTCCAGACCTTTGTCAGATGGTTATTTATAATTCTGTTTCTCTCAGCCTCGGTCTGAAAACATCAACAGAATTGTTTGTGGTCCCAAAATTAAAAATGTACTTATTATCTGAAGATTGCTGATTGAAAACTGAAGTGTTATTTCATTGAATTAAATGGAGGGTTAGAATATATGGGAGCAAATGCAGTTAATAAATACTGTAGTACTTTCTCTTTTGCTCTGTGATCTCCTAAGGAGTCAGTGTTTACCGTTGACAATGTATCACCAAAAATACATGTTTCTTTGATTCTTAGTAATAATAATAAAAATAATAATAATTGCTTACACTTATATAGTGCTTTTCTGGACACTGCACTCAAAGCGCTTTACAGGTAGTGGAGACTCCCCTCCACCACCACCCATGTGCAGCATCCACCTGGATGATGCGACGGCAGCCATAGTGCGCCAGAATGACCACCACACATCAGCTATTAGTGGGGAGGATAACAGAGTAATGAAGCCAATTCATAGATGGGGATTATTAGGAGGCCATAATTGATAAGGTCCAATGGGGAATTCGGCCAGGACTCTGGGGTTACAGAATTTTTAATGACCAGGTCTCATCCGAAGGACGGTGCCTGATTACATTATAGTGTCCCTGTCACTATACTGGGGCATTAGGACCCGCATAGACCACAGGGTGAGCACCCCCTTCCAGCAGCAACCTTAGTATTTCCCAGGAGGTCTCTCATCCAGGCACTGACCAGGCTCACACCTTGAGTGGGTTGCCAGTTGTGAGTTGCAGGATGATATGGCTGCTATAATTGTCGTAATCGTGGCCTTGAGGTTTTCTTACCACAATTTGTTTTGCAATTGAAGATTTGATGGAATCAGCTATTATCTTAATTTGTGGCTTCTTTCTCTGTTCCTTTGTGCACACAAAGCCGGGAAGATGCAGATGTTTGGAAAGTTGTATTTGGTATCAACAACCTTGATCACCCATCGCCTTTTATGCAGACAAGGAAGGTGAAGAGGATTATAGTCCACCCCCGCTACAACAGAGCTGTGGTGGATTATGACATCAGTATAGTGGAACTGGACACAGAGATCAATGAAACCAGCTACGTCAGACCTGTCTGCCTACCTCACAAAGGCCAGCCCCCTCTGCCTGACACCTATTGTTACATCACTGGATGGGGGCACATGGGTAACAGAAGTAAGTTAAAAATGCTGTTTATTTGTTGTAGAAATCTCTTTTTTTGGTTCAAAGTGAAAAGCTTCATTATGTGTTTTCCTTTTAATTTCATAGTGCCTTTCAAACTACAAGAGGGTGAAGTCAGGATTATCTCCATGGATCAGTGTCAGTCTTTTTTTGACATGAAAACCATCACTTCTCGGATGCTATGCGCTGGATATGAATCTGGGACTGTTGATTCCTGCATGGTAAGATTTGGAAACCATGCCCCCACCTCCCAACCCTGTAGTGTAGTTAAATGCTGCTTCATTTTTCTGAAAATTACTACATTTGTATGCCGGTTATCCAAATAGAAGTAAGTGGAACTGTATAAATGTTGCAATAATGCTTTGTATCCATTATCACCAAAGATATGGTTTCCTTGGGTAATAAAATAATAGGAGGTAGTAACCAATCCCTTCTAAGAGTCAGACAGGATTAAACCCTGTACCTTGGTTGTTAGTATCATTATGATCAAAACAGGCGGCCTGCCAAGCACAACCTTCAGAAGTAATAAAATAATGCTTCCAGTATAATCAAATTTTCAGGTTTTCTGTTTTAATTTGAGTGTTTCTTGTTGTAGATGTTCTCTAAATTGTGCAAATATAAACAAATGTTTATAATGGCACAAGTAATGGATGTGAAACCGAACTGTTGTACAGGCGTTTGCTCAAATGCTACTCTTCAGTGACCTGAACATGTAAATGAGAGGTCTCTCTTGAATAATTCTCTGGCTACAGGGAAATGACCAAAGAATAAAGAATACATGTAATATATAGTTTGTAATGCAGAAAATAGATTAAAAAACAAGATCAGGATATGATACATTTTGATCAGCTAATTTTGTAAGAGAAAAAGGAATACATAGTCACAAATGGTAAAATGCGTGAGACTTTTCAGAAGTCTGATATTGGCAATGTACATAAAATATATACAGTGGAACCATAGATCAATGCAAGTACTACAGCAATTCAGTCCATCATTCCACTCCATTGTAGGATGATTGTGCAGAAATTCACATTCTAAGAAAGAAAAGTTTCTTTAATGCACTACCAAGAAAGTTTTGAATAATTAAAGAAAATATTCGTTTTGAGTAACATTTCTGTAAGATGTGTTTGTAAAGATAAATAGCTCATTTCTGTAGCAAATGATTTAATGATTTCTTATTAAATAATTGTATTTTAAATTTTTAAGATATTTTCGTGATGCTGCATGTAACTAGGGCAGCACTTGGGGCCCTAGGTTCAATTCTGGACTTTTGTCCTGTTTTGTTTGGGTTTTCTCTGGGTGTTCCGGTTTCCTCTCACAGTCAAAAGACACATTGCCACATTTGTCAGCTTCTAGGAAATTTCACCCTGGAGTGTGTGTACAGTATGTTTGTGAGTGGCTTCAAATGGACTGTTGTCCCATCCAGGGTCTATCCTTCCTGTACCTGTTGCTTGCTTAGGTAGACTCCAGCTCCCCTGCAACCCTGTATTAGATAAAGCAGTTAGAAAATGAATGCATGAATGGATGTAAATAAAATCAGAGCTTACAGTATGCTTATGGTCTGCTCCTCTTACAGGGTGATAGTGGAGGCCCACTCGTTTGCCAAGAGCCTGACGGACGATGGAGTTTGTACGGGCTCACATCATGGGGATCAGTTTGTTTTTCCAAAGTGTTGGGACCTGGAGTCTACAGCAACGTGACGCATTTTGTGGAGTGGATTGAGAGGCAAATATATCTCCACACGTTTTTCCTCAATTAGCCAGCAGCACAGCAAGCATGGATGGAGCTTGAACAAGAAAAATGAAAAGAAAATGCTTTTGGTGGTTAACAGGGTTTTTTTTAAAAAAACAAAAGAAGCTAGGAAGGCATTTTTGAAACTGTTAGCTCCTTCAAAGAACCAAAGGTTAACTGTTTTTGAAGGAAGAGAATAACTTTGGCTGCAGGTTCTGTTATGCTGCAGGCCTCCTGTCTTGGAATTCAGGAATTCTCAGATCATTGTCACTGTGTTCTTTGACCATTCCAAGAGGAAGTGCTCATTTGGTCATGAGCCATGTGAATAGAGGAGATATTATTTACATTATATTGCAGATTAGCATTTTGTTCATAAAGACAAATACATTAGGATTGCATTGTATTTTATGTACACTATATGGGACAGAGATGCTAGTCAGCACAACAAGGCCTACTTTTGTAGTAGAGTCTATAAGGTGGATTTCATCTTTAAAAATGGTTATAGATGACAAAAATAGAATATGGTTATTTTCCATGTCACAAAATGAGTAGGGAAGCACAATAAGAACAGATGTTATCACAGTATAAAAGTGAGATCCAGAGTCTTCTTAATACACTTCATTTTGCACTGTGGTTTGGAAAAAGGGTATAACTTATGTTTATAACTGGAAAGTAATACATCTGCAGAGAAGTAACATTTAAAAATGATTACTGCCAATTAAAATCAAGGCATTTCATTCAACAGGTAGTACCTGTTGAGCAGCTTAACACAGTGAAAAGTCCATATGGCTTTATCATAATATTTAAACCAATAAATTAAGTAGTGTAGTCCAGGAAAAGACAAAACTCAAAGGAGGCAGTCAATAATTAGTAGATGATAGACCACAATAAGTTGGCAGACATTTTGTGTGTAGATACAGTGAGTAGATGGACAAATAGGTTATTATCAATACAATATAGACTCTAAAAAGACTAAATGTAGTTGTTTGTTATTCCTTCAAAGCCTCTATAGTTCTTTAACTTCTGGTGCCTCTTACACACACAGGATGGTTTTAACCTTTCTGAATTTTACTGTAGGCTAAAATTGTGCAGAGCACTGATATATACTGTTAACAGATGGCTGCTTCTTGAGGCATACAATTCAGCAGGAGTTATATTAATCCTTAAATACTTGAAGGCTTCATGCTTGTAATAGTATTGTGTTTACTATGTACAGCTGAGTAGTTTATAATCTAGAAGGGAAGAGCTGTGATGCATTGTCAAACACTTTGAAGGCTTTGCTAAATTTCTTGTATGGTGTCGCATTTAGTGTTGTTATGGTATGTACTGTATGTTAATGTTGTATTCTTAAATGTAAAGCACTCAGTCATGAAATCAGTAGGAAATGGTTTTATCAAAAATATATCCTCCTAATAGTAACAAATACTGTACAATTGCTGAAGTATTTGTTGCCAGCTACGTGCTATTTGCTAAAGTTCATACTTGAGTAACATTTGAGATCAATACTACAAATCCTTCCACTTATTACACATCTGAGTTAAAAGAAATACTGGCCACCATTAATTAAGTGACTTCTTTTTTTAAAGAAAAGCGCACAAGTGAGGACTGTTATTAAGTTATTGCAGGGAAATGGCTACTGACTGATTATTAAAAAACATAGTGGTCAAAATACCTTTATAAATACATTTATAAATTAGCATAGGGTTTTTAGGCACCTTTATGTTATTGCAGTATACTGTAGCTCTTTAAATTAAATTCAGCAAACTTACAATGTACCAGAACTCTAAATTTTCAGCTGCTCACTTTCTCCTATACATTGACATTCATGTAAAAGAAAAACATAAACTGTTTTCAGTGTTTAAGTTGGAAATGGGCGACAGGTGATATGAATGGCTCATATAATTTGGATATTATTTAAAGTTATTTAAACTATAAACACTATTGTCCATATGCATTTAAATTATCCTCATGACAAATTCACATTGAATGTATTCCTGGCCTGAGGAGCCTCCAGGATGAGGTGCAGTAGGGACATAACCTTTTCAAAAATGAAAACATTTAATCTTTTAAGCTTAATTAGCAGTTAAGCTGTTTTGAAGCCTTTCTTTCTCAACACACTGCACCTTTACTTTCATGCTCCATTGTACCTCAATTTAAATTCTATTGCTTCCACAATTCCCTTAGTAATTCATTTTTTTCAAGCTCATGTAAGCAAGAACCAAGTGTATTGCTTTGAGATTATATGTTCACCTTTGTATGCTGTTATACCTTAAATTCTCACTTTTATGTTTCATTTATGATAAGATTAGGCATTTATGGTAATGTAAGGGTAAATGGCACACGGTCTCAATATATCCTTTTATGCAATGTTTCATGTCATTAAATGATTTTTAACAAGAAAATGTAGTTACTCACTACATTTAGGTCAAATTTGAGACAAATGTCAAACTACATTTTTGCTTTATTTTAGTCTAACACCATAATGCAGTTGCAGTGATTACTGCCTAGAAAAAATAAATCATTGTGACACCCATGATATTGTATCCATTATCTGAAGTGAATGCTGAAGTTTAACATTTCAATTTATTCATATTTATTCATCAAAGTTAAACTTTTTTGACAGTTTGTTGTAATGACCCTGTGATGTCTGTCAATTTTTCCTTTGCATTGTTAGTGGAATTTTAATCCCGCAGAAAAAAAAAAAACATGCCGCATTTATCTGTAAAGGATTTTGGTCTACGCAGCCATAGTAATTTGAATGTCCATATTCGGGTTCTGTTAAAGTGGCTAAGGATATCAAGACACTTTCAGTGTTATATGACGTTAATCACTATTAGGTGTTGTGCTGATGTTTAACATGATCATTTTGTACATTGACTGTACAGCTGAAGTACATGTATCACACAAGACACTGAATAACTCATGCCAAAGTCTGTTTTTGTGAATTTCTGTAGATCACTGTTGAAAATGTGGAAAATCTGGCATCAGGTCCACGAGAGATAATTGTCAGATTATTTGTGTGTCGGAATATTTATGTATATACACCTTTATGCTTTAGTGTTTTAATGTAACATTCCATGTAAAGAATTTGTTTGTAATTTTCTAAAGTATTTTTATACTGCCTTTCTATGTGCACACATGATTATACTGTATTGGGTCCCAGACATAACTTTTAGTATTTTTACACTTCATTGTTGTTGAAATAGTAAACGACAATTTGAAATTTCAAAATATATAAGCAAGCGTATTGATGGCATACCAGACTTTATTTCTATTAGCAAGATTTTGGTAAGCTTCTAACGTGAAGAACAATAAAGTTTGTCAACAACACAAAATCTGTCTCTGAATTTTTAATCGGGCTGCAAACACAAACTGGCATTCCTTTCAAAATTGATATACTGTATTAAAACCTGGTAGATCTGGGGAGTTAGTAGGTGTTCTATGACACTTTTTAAGTAGTATTTTCCCCAGTTTACTATAAAATGTTAATCACTTCAAGATGTTTCAAATTATGTGCTTAATATTAAATTTCCAATGTGATTTTTGAAGGATTTCTGCACATTACCTTCATTTTTTCCAGAATTTTAAGTTACTGGAATTTTTACAGAACCTCTGAAGACTTAGTGTGTTATGTGTTCATCATTTCTCTCTTCCTGTGCTCTTTCTACACTATCAAAAGACAACCATTTTAACTGAAATAAATATCAAAATTGCAAATTTATCCCACATTTTGAAAACACAACATCACTTTGTTCTAACTAGACTTTTATTTACAGACTGCAAGATTGCATTTTCACGTACTGTATTTTAATATATATATACAGTATATACAGTATTCTGTACAGTATGTTGTGGCTCAGGGGTGGATAAAATCCTCTTAAGCGATGCGAAACACCGCTGGTCAGCAGAAGAGGGCGACAAAGTAGAGAAAATAATTTCCATTAAGTTCTAACGTCCTGACGCCCGCGTAGGAATGTACAGTACTGCTGTGATTATCACTGATAGACGCCAATGACCGAATCTACACACTCGCCCTAAATAATTACAATGATACTAGAAGAACTCGTCGCCAGTAATCTACCTCACCCTGAGATCTAAAACGGTTCTAGACGTGGTGAGTCAGAAAACAATGTACTGTATATTTGAACATGTTTATTAAAATAAATTCATAACTATTTGAATTCAAATTTATATATACAAATAATATACCTATTTGAATATCTTTTATTCCAACAGAAAAAAAACTTTTAGTCTGCCAGCAACAGCTACAGTACATCATCTTGCTTACTTATTTTGTTAGATCTCATAAACAAAGCTACATCATGTCGAGGTAGTGTATAGGCAGAAAACGCTTTTGAAAAATTAGATTGCTGCTGAAATCTTGCAGACAGACTATTAGGTTTCTCTCTTCCCTCTCTACCCGAGGTTCTAAACAAATGCCACTGTGATTACAGGAATTACTGAAGGAGCCTGTCATTCAGATGAGATATAGAACTAATGTCATGACTACCTCTGGTCAATAGATGTGCTGACCCTGTTGTCTTCACTGCAGTACATAGCAGTTGAGCCTTGCTTTATCTATCCTATTCAAGTTTAGTTAAGTTTAATTGGTGAATTAATTTCTCACATCTCTATCTGAGCTACTACTGCAGAATGGCCACCACAAATCACTTAGGTACTATAGATGCTGCCCACCAGTGCCCACCATTGATCCATCAATCAATCCATTTTCTAAAACACTTGATCCATTACAGGGTTGGGGGCCCAACAAGCAACTGACACAAGGCAGGATATACCCTGGAGGGGACATGCACGCCAATTTCACAGAAGCCAGTTAACCCACCAGTATGTCTTTGGACTGTGGGAGGAATTACAGTAACTGCAAACACAAGGGAAGATATCTGTGCTCACATACTGTAGTGTACTCCACACTGGTAGCCCCCCCAGGGATCGAACCCAGGGCTGCAGCGCTGAGAGGCAGTGATGTTAACCACCGTGGCACCTGCTGCCTGTAGCCAGCCTCATCACTGCAAAATGTGAAATATTATGATAAAGACCTGAACCACATGCCTATTGCTGATGC